CAGTTACGTGATTTGTAAACAGTCAGATTTTGCAAAATCACTGAAGGAGGTAAGAAATCATGAAAAAATTTTGGTGCAAAATATTTACCCCTTTCAAGCTCTCTTTAACTGACAAACAAAACTGAAATATTACACATACTACACTAAGTTCCGATCAGTAAGTGAATGATTTCCAGAATCTGTACTCCATCATCCTGCAGAAATGAAGTGTTCCAAATATTGGTTTTCTAAAAGAAAAACCGCCATTATTGTTCCAATAAATAATTATATATGGCTAGTTAATTCTTCAGAGCTGGCACCAGACTGAATGATTTTGAAGAGTGTATGCAGACTGTTTAAAACATTATTGTGGCTCAGACAGCACCATGTTTTCACTGTCAAGCAAAATGTACCAGACGGTGAGCAATGCTGCAGCCTCCTGAAGTCTTCAAATAAGACTAGAAAAAAATGCTATCGTTAAGTAAAAAAGGGGAGCTATATAAGAGTAGCAAACAGTAGGTTTATGTTTTGTATTATGTAGTCAGCCTACCTAAGTGCTTTGGTCTCAATGTATGAAATAGACCTTTATGTGACTGGAAGACAGCACAGTATATGAGCTTTTCAGAAAATTTGAGACCTATTTGGATCTAAAGCTTTATGCTTCTCGATTTTGGACCATGGATGAACAGTTCCTGGTTCTAACCTGGTTCTACCTGCCAATTAGGGGTCATTTTTGGGCAGGTATATAAAGAAATTGGCAATGAAAAAGAAATCTTAAAGCCCACAGAGGAGAAACTGGAGACACTTGAACTACCTGCCCGGGCCATAACAAAAGCACATGGGGACAGCAGGAAGTTTATAAAAAAGGTTCTAACACTCATGATCATTACTGCCATTTGTTTCAAGCTTCTTTCTCCTTGTAAATCATTATCAAATTCATGCATTTCCTCCCTGGAGAATCACAGTGCTTCACAAACACTACCCTGTATTCCTTTTAGGTCAGTGTAGCTTTGCCAGCTGGTCTGTTAGGGCACAATCCTAGCAAAATGCAGGAGCAGCATTAATCTCTAGCAGGCTTTTCCTTCTTATAGTAAAATGTGTTGTGAAAGTAACTATGAATAGGGGGTTTCTCATCTCAGAATCTCAGGGAAATCGGTACCTTTTGATCTAGTAATCTGTAACCAGTAATGAACCAAACTGGGTTTGAATCTGTATCTGGACAGTTATCTTACTACCATTACTGTAGGGAAGGAAAAGAACATTTTCTGCCCCTTCAGCCAAGTTCACTCATTACCTGATACCAATGGACTTCCTCTTTAAATCATCATACCAAGCCAAGCTAACACATCAATATTCACCATGTAAAGTAACTTCAGACTCAGTATGGTTCAGTAAAGATCATGAAGACAGAATCTTCCTAGAGTAACTAAATACTCGTGTGCTCCTGCAAACATACACAAAGTTTCAGTATCAGGCTGGACTTTTGAAAAGTGGATTCCATAATTGCAAATTAGATATAACCACTTTTATCTTTTATGCTTACCAAAGCCCACTTTTCTGATGTTATGAAAAAAAAAAAAAGAGCAGGATATACAGAATCAACACAGTCCGACACACAAAAATATCAAAGGTTATGAGCATGTACTTGAAGTAAAAGAAATGGTGCAGAATAGGGTTGAAATATTTCTGCCGTTGCAACCCTCAAAATGCTTGTGCTACTGTATCAGTGAAACAGAACATGTTCATAGTAGCAGCAAAACTCAGCCTACCAAAGCCATCTAAAAATGATTACTTTTGTGTACTTTTAATCTATCACAAACTACTTTTATATTCCATATCAGAAAAAGTCTGTGTAGTGAAAGTATGTAATAACATAGATTATTTGGTTATTATGCAAATCATCATGCATAAATAAAAATATCCATTCTTCACCCTTGAACATTCCCTGAAGTTTAATTTGGAACCTAATTTGCATTCAATTAACATTTTAAAGCACTACCTACTTTTTCCAAAAAGCAATTCTTTGCTTTTAGAAGTAGTTAAGGGTCTTTTATGCATCACTGGGATATACAGAGATGCAGCAGGGCCACAGGTACACTCTCCTTTCTGCACTGCAACTTTGAACCCTCACTTGCAAGGCTTGGCACTAAGACAGATCTGAGCCACAGTTACTGAAGTGGGAAGCCCTGACCTGACATAGTTACCATTGCTTGCTTCTTCTCTGTTGAATAGTGCAAGAAGGGAAGTCAGGGGAAGAGTAGGTGGAGGTGTCCTGCACCTTATCTCTACCTATGTCCTCTCCTACCTGTCAGGTACTACACATCAGTGATTGTGAGCCTCTTGTCTACAACATGTATTTTAAACTGTGAATCCAAGGATCTGGAAAAAATACTGTGTCATCACAACCAGCTGAAAACATTACATTAGAAAGGTATTTAAAATTATTTTCCTAAAACCAGTAACACAATGTAAGGAGTCTGAGATTTGGGGTTATATGGTAAAATGCTAAAATGCTCAGACACAAATTTGTGCAGGATCCAGAGCATCAGTTAGGACTTTACTTAAACTGAAAAATATATGGATGGAATATTCTAACCTGGCCAAACTGTGATATACTCCTGAATGCGTACTTAGACAACTATACATGAAACAGGACTTGATAGTTCAAAATAAGACACTGGCTTTGCTTTGATGTAGGCAAAAAGTATTCACACAGTCGAGGCTGTGAAAGACAAACTCTGGCAACTCGTGATGGAGTTTTACAATATTATTACCCCAAATTAGTCATCTCTCCATGGTTACCCACCCTGAGCAGTGAAAAAGCCCTACTCATGTCAATCTCATTAGCGTAAACTGACAAGATGCCGTTTTGAACTGCAGTGACAAAGACTTAGACAAATACACTTTTCTAATATCTTTGGAGGTGGTAACTTCGAGTCCAGGGACAGGACGAACAGCTGGAGAAAAGTAACACCTTAGCAGATGGCTATAGTTGTTTGCTTCAGTGCACATCAGTCAAAACCTTCAGCTACAGCTCCTTAAACTGCCTTTTGGCTATCACCTCTCCGGTGTTAATTAGCATCTCATGCAGATCTGATATCCAACAGCTAACGTTATGGATAAGCTTAATATGCACTAACATGTCCTTTGTGATGTGTTAGTCTGAGATCGTAACCATAAAATACATCCCTGAAATGTTTCAAAGACTCCAGAATCTAGATGTCACTGAAAAAATGTGGTGTTTGTTCTGTAAAAATTCATGGGTCTTCTCTCTTTGGCTGGGGATTCACTGTAAGGTTGTTGAGTTGAATTTGAAAGAAATGTGACAGTCTGAAAGAAAGGTGCCCTCAAATTATCCTTACTTTCTGCATGGCTTCTTCAGTGAGCTGTTCATAATTGTCCTCCTGGATCAATTCTTCTTGATGTCAGCTTCTTGATGATTTGTGCTAGGTTAGTTCAATATGGTGTGGGTAATCCAGGGTTCTCTCAAAAAGCAGTTTTCTCTCAACACTAGTCTGAAAGGTCTTCCCTCTTGAAAGTTTCAGTCATGACCATTTCCTTCTCGTTCCACTAAGCATGTTCCCAAGACCAAATTTCTCAAGGTATTAAGAATGGAACACCATCAGAATTACTTGGCCACATGATCAAGTATGTTTCTTTACATGAATTAGTTTGCTGGCAATCAAATTTATTTTTCTCATTAACTTTAAGCTGAAATAATTAGAAGGTCAGATAGATAAGTATTTTTTTCACGTCCTACCTACTGAGCATCTAGCTGAGTCATGCAAATCAGGCAGGCTGAAGTTTTGTCTTGAAAAGAGGTTATTACAATGTACAGGGTTTTTTCCCCCCCTCTACTGATGTTAGGAACTTAACATGCATAATAGTACATTGTAGTGTTTTTGGCAGCCCAGACCAATCTCAAGTAAATCTGAAAAGCTGCTTTATTTTACATTGATATATAATTAAGCTTCAGACCTGTGGATGTTGTCACAGAGTGACCATTTTCACATGTGCTTTTCACATGAATTTCAGTGCCAGAAACTCCTGGGTTAAAATATCTCATCTCATTTGCACTAGTATTCCTACCAAGATAATCAGCATTTTTGGGTATGCTTTCTATGACTGTGGGATTGTAGCTGCTGCCCCAACATTGATAAATCTGATGATAGATCAAATCTATAAATTCTTAGCAATAGCTCACACTACCACAAAGAGTGATATTTTCTAGTACATTGAGGAAATAAAGATCAAATAAAGATCAAATTTTCATGGTGCATTCATGCAAGAACTTGGAACACTATTTTAGCTATAAAATAAATGAATGCATGTTTGTCTCACTGAACGGAGGGTCTCTGAACAGAAAATGGAAGTTGCTAAAACTTCCTGATTCTCGTTCTAGTGAAAACAGCTAGTCAAATGAAACAGGAAAGGCCTAACAAAGTCATTCTGCTTGACAGAAGGAATGAGGGAATTTACAGAATGGGAGCACAAAAAGATCAGATGGCAATTCTAGGTCAAAAAGAAAATAAAAAATTACTAGCCTAAGAACTACTAGAGTTTCAGAAAAATGAAGGGAGACGAACAGAGAACAACTGCTAACAGAAAACGATTGCCAAGTTAAGGTTTCATCCTTTCTTCCCTCCTCCCTCAACCGCCGTTTCTTGTTTCTAAAACAACAATCAATGGCAACTTTCAAGCTAGGTTTATGTGTCATTGTTTTTGCTTAATACACTCTTACATTTGTAGAAATGGCATTGTCTAGAACTCCCAAATCAGATAAGTAAATTCATCTAGTAGTAATAAAGAGAAAACAAGAATGTCATCAAAGCAGTCTGTTTTTTCTTGAGGATGGCCATGGTCTTTGCAGGATATATTAACAAAAACGCTTGTACCATTCTGTATAACATGTTGTTCAGTACTTATGTACTTCCCATCTTTGCAACGGATTAAAAAAAAAAGCTATACTAACTCCAGTGAAACATATTTAATAAAAACTAAGATTTTAGACTTGCACTTACCTGGAACAAAGCTTCCCTGGACCACCTCCTTATAAGCCCACCAGCCTTCATGGATTTTTGGTGAATTTTGTTGAGCTAGAAAGAAATAATCAAAGAAATCATAAAATTAAGGCAAGGCATAGGAAATATTTAATTACAGTTACAAGAACAACTTTGGAAACCCTAAAGTAATAGGGTATCATTTCTACAGAAGAGCCGTTCCTCAGCTTCCCAGGTGATATTTATTCAGTTTATTGAATTGTGTCTGTACCCTGAAGTAAATTCACACCTTGTCCCTGTTTTTCAGACAGCAAATCATACTCAGCTTCCAAAGAACTTATCAACAAATTTAAAAATTCAGGTAGAAAGTGAAGATCTCTAGCACTATTGATGGTTTCTGTGCCAGCCATAAATTCAATGTGGGATAAAAATGCGGATAAAAAGAGCGTGCCCATGCAGTAGTCAATATCTGAGTCAAAGTTTGTGCATTGAGAAGCAAGTTCTCCCCTTCCTTTCCCAAGGAAAAGGAAAATCCTTCTCCAATACTCTGTCACTTCGGGGAGAAGTGACAGAATGAACCATAGGCAATAGCTGCATCCATATCTGCTTTCCTTCTCATCCCATGTCCTCTGAGTTTCATAAACAGAACCCAAAAGTATAGCCCATGGCTTCATAAATTACTGGTTTATGCTGTTTCGCTCAGGCAGGGAGGTAAGGTTTTTCTATTATCTGCTCTGCCTGCGATATAGCACCCACTACTTATCCCACCCCAGGCCTCCTGGTAGCTAGGCAAGGTACTCGCTTCTGTTACACATATGACATGCGGCTCTATTACAGTCGTGTCTGACAGCACAGTGCGGTTACACACGGAAAGCCTTTTTTTGACCAGTATTCTGAAGGCCACAGCAATAACAATCTAAACTTTGGATAAGGTTTGCTCCTGGTGAAACTGTTGCTTAAATGACTTCTCTGAATTCCTGAAAAGCCAAGAGTAGAAAGGCCATGGTCAATCAGTTTACTAGTTATAAGGTCATTATTTCTCATTATCTTGAAGGAAATTGGAACTAGACCACATTTTATGGCCATAATGTAAAATTTCTGTTAATAGAAAACAAAGCATTCAAAGGGCATACAGATACACAGCAAGATAAACTTACAGTTAATTTCTAAAAGATATGCTAGAAGAATAAAGCTAATATGTAAATATGTTCTACCTTCACTTTCATTATGCTTGATATTTTCATGTTTAAAGCAACTCTCTCACCGTGCTATAGAAATCTCAGCTAACTAGTGTATCTTTAGCTTAAATATTGTTTTTTATAAGGTATTTTTAATCCCCTGCATTAGGTCTATTTTTTTTTAGCATAAAAACTCAGCTACAAAAAGTACTAAATTTAGCAGCTTTCTAATGCGGTTTCATTTCTGGTCAGATATTATATACAAAAGAGACAATTACCCCGGGAAAAGTTCCAGCAATCTAATAAAAATTGTTGTTGTCATTAAAAATTACAAAGAGGATGTGACATTCAAACTAAAAAGGATACAAAACGAGGACCATTACATACTGTTTTATCAGTAACAAAACAATATTTACAATTTAACTGACTGTAAATTGCAGAAACAAAAGTAAAGCTCACGTTAATTAAACGTGCTGACAGAAGGACCAACACTTTCTGCTTACCAGAAATCCAAACACACACTAATGGAATGGGATGTGTGTGGATGCAGAATTCTCCTTGCAGTACTGGTGCTCCTTCCATTGATTGAATGATGACATGCTGAACTGAAAAGACTATTCCACAGTGCACTCTTTACAGTTTGCAGATTATATTATCTTCATTCTTTAACCTTTATATCATTGTCTAGAGAACTCAAACTGTGTACAGCTTTGTTGTGCTAGACTAAACTATATGAACAGTTGGAGAATGACAAATCCCAACCCACAATCAAAATACCTGAGCAGCAACTATTCATATATAGCCTGAACTGTGATCACTCAGATCTCAGCACTGGTTTATGCAAGTTATTTTTCCACCTATGTGCTCTGCAAGAGAAGTCCTTAAAGATTTCAGGATACTTCAGAAGTAGGAGAGGATATTAATAAGTCAGGGCCAACTAAACCTGGTGATTATTCTGCTGCTTAAATTCCTCAGAAAATTTAATTGTGTTAAAATCCACTTGTGGTAATACACACAGCTCAAGCTGGTTCAGTCATCCAGAGGCAGCTGAATTGTAGAAGGGGGGGAAGGGCATGTATGTGGATAGACGCACCTTATAAAGATTGCAGGGAGGATGGATATTTCCAAGTGCAACTGTTTCCTGTCAGCATTCATAGAATAGAAAAATCTATCAATTTTACCCACTCTGATCAATCTAAATGATACATTTCAGGTCTAGAAATTAAAAAAAAAAATCATCATTCAGAGTTTAAATTAAACCATAATCAAAAGACACCATCTCCACAGTTTTATTGCACTGTGTTACACCAACACTTTGTAAGCTAATTCCAGAAGAAATATCAGGAAGAGTAGGGTTTTTGCCATATTTTTTCAGATTTTCTGCATTAGTATGGAAAGAAAGACTGTGTGAGATGAGCAAGAAAATTAGATTATCGAAGCTTTGTACTAAATAATTGGATGCCCGTGCAACTGTTTCAGCTATCAGAGAAGAGCACGACCTGACATCATTCTGCACATTGCACAGATATCAGATCCTTATCTCTTCAATACACATGAAAATGAAACACGTAAAAGGGAGTACAAGAAGTAAAAGAAGATGCCTTACCACAGCCATTTTAAAATATCTAAGATAGGGCAAGAGCATCGCTGGGGCTACTGCTGATTTACAGACTGAAGCCACTGAGGAAATCAAGAGGAAAGGCAGGTTGTTGTAAGAGAATAGCTAGAGCGACAATCCCTAGTGCAATGCTCTTTCTTAAACCCGGAAACCTCAATGTTTTTTTATCAGTTCAGGCAAAACATCCTGCAAAAATAGTGCAGAGAGTCAGTGAACATGGATTTCCACTCTGCTGTGCATCTGAAATCTAGCTTGGTGCCAGAGATTTACTCTGACAGATCCTCCAGTGACTCTGCATAGGAAGGAAAAAGATTTATAAAGCTCTCATTTCTCTGAATGCAGAAGGAGAGGGGACTAGTAAGACCAGGGAGGAATGTGTATGTTCCAAAACCTACTCCTAAATCATCATACCAATGGGCAAGAAGTCTTATTACAGGAGTAAAGAAGCTGTTCTTTATTTTTGAAACTTAATCCAACCCGTACCTGGATGAGTAGCGGAACAAGGCAATATAAAATTAGAATGAACAGACATATGGACAATGCTTGCTGGGAATCCTATCTGGGCCGCTTACACATGATGCACGTACAACACAGGGTCTCTACAACTGTATCAATGCCCATCTGACAGGATGGCCTTGTGCCGAGGTAAACAGGTTCAACCGTATGGCTTGGGAATTGATGCCAAGGAATAGGATCCTTCACATGTGCCACCTCATGACACTGAAAATATAACTTTCTCAGCATCCTCCTTATTTCAATTAAAGGAAAAACACTGCACCCCTCATTGCAGTTCTCCCAGTTGAGGGCCACAGAGAGATATGCATGCTTGGTTTGTGGATTCAGATATTCCTATATTTCTACTGCCACGGCAGCTCCTTGTTTTGGCATGACTGGTCATATAAGAACACTGAAGAGGCTTCAGGTTTAGGTTTAGAAAGGAAAAGGTTTAGAAAGCAATGCTCTATTTCTGGAGAGGGTTAAGTTCTAAAAAAAAAAATTTCATTTCTGATACCTCAGAGACATTTTGTTTTAAGACTAATTTCAAAAGACCTAGGGCAGGAAATTGTATAGAACCTTTATACGCCTTTTGCTTCCAAGAAACATCACTGCTTCTACAAGATATCAAAATACACAAACACGTGTGAACAGACTCTCTGCTGCTAGGAGCAGATTATGTGTACAAGCAGCTCTGCAACAATGTTAGCATCAGCACTGTATTCTGCCATTAGCATGGACAATCCAAAGTGCCACGTTTGTCGAAAGTGCTAGAGGATATTGCAATGACCTCCATTTGCTTCAGTGTTCTCTCCCTCTGCATTGCTATTACTAGTATCTGAGCTTAGTAGCTGTGTGATATAACACCATTTTGTCAGATCTCTTTCATGCAGCTGCTGTAGGGGAGACAGGATATTTATTCAGAATAGATATGACACATGTTGCTTTCATTTTGTCAGATAGTTATAGGTATATCTCATTGTGGAGCGTAAAATTAAAGGCTAAGTTCTGCAAGATGCCATGCATTTTCATTTCCTAGTAACTTCTGTGTGTGGGGAAACAACGTTACCCAGGACCAGAAAAACATAAGGTAAATGCAAACAGCAAAAGATGGCAAAGCCACATAAAGTTATTAGGTAACTATGTTAAAATGGGTAGTATTATGATTAAAAGAGAAACTGGGAAATACTGTAATTCATTAAAACTGTTCCAAAATCATCAGTTAACATTACATCAGATCCCAGGTACCATGATTCAGATGCTGAAATATTTGCATACAACTCTAGCACAGAGGCCTTCATGTTGTTGGAAGGCTAATGCCACCATAACATGGACTGCAATAATTAATACAAAACGCCCCTTAGTAAGTATCCCTATCTGCAAGGTATTTAACAAACATTCTACAACTAGTCATTTTTCCTATGTTTACATGGATAGACAGCCTTGTATCTGACGCCATTGTTTATGTCATTCACATCCGAGCATAAGCCAAGAGTAGAATCCTGCCAGATCAGAACTCTCCATTCACCTTACAGTCATTTCACACAGATGAAAAATGCTAGACTGTGGAGAATCAGGTTCACAGAGGTTAGGAAAAAGCTTTTTTATTTGAATTTTATTGATCTGAGCTCTTTTGATTGCTACATTAATCATTCTGTATGCTTCTCCATCCTCATCTTACATCCTAAGAGTCTTGCTCTGATGACCTGGCTAGTATTAGCCTGGCATTAAAGACAAAAATGTTTTTATTGCTGTTACCCTTTTTGCATATTTACACGATTAAAGAAAACCAGCTGCAACTATGA